CTAGCAGATTTCATTCCTTCCGCAGGCAGCCATTTTGGGCCATATAACTTTTTTAAAAAAATCTTGTCTGTTTTGCTTTTCTTCGTTTCTTGAAAAAAAATGTGTTTTGTATTTTAACTTTTTTGGAATAAAATAGATTTTTTTTTTAAAAAAAGGAAGCACTTAACCCAGCTGTACGTGCATAAAAACCTGTATAAAAAATATAAAGTATTGAAAAAAAATATAGTATGCAAATAATTTACAACGTGGAAATGTACAATCTTCTAACTATACACAGAATTTACATATACCGTATACAAATCTGCATAGTGTATTAACATACAGTAAAATTGATATTTGATACATCGGTGCTCTTTGAGATCATGATTTTCATATAATATTTTTTATACAGGTTTTTATGCACGTACAGCTGGGTTAAGTGCTTCCTTTTTTTAAAAAAAAAATCTATTTTATTCCAAAAAAGTTAAAATACAAAACACATTTTTTTTCAAGAAACGAAGAAAAGCAAAACAGACAAGATTTTTTTAAAAAAGTTATATGGCCCAAAATGGCTGCCTGCGGAAGGAATGAAATCTGCTAGAAGTCAGGCATGGCGTGTAGTTGAAATCCCGCCTTCTTTTCTACATATGTGTATGTGACTCATATGCCTGCTGGAGGGACAGGCCTCCACCGCTGACATCGCTCAATGTGAAGTCTTGTCAGAGAACCAACATTTCTCTCCTTTTTCAAACTTTTTCACGCTCTGGTGTGGTTCTTCGCCAATTGTCTCTTTCTTTTACATTTTCGTTTCTGTGGATTCCTGTGGGAACCAAACAAACAAACATTTGTGTTTTATTTAGGAACTAAAGTAACAGCAACCCACTTTCATGCATTTGCCCCCAAAAGAAGTTGTAGCTGAGGCTGTCAGGTTTCCGAAAGATGCCCCAATTAATTCATGAGCCTCAAGCCAAGTTTCAAAAGAAATCCAGTCATTTATTAGGAACACCATTTCGGCAATACCCCATTGCAGTCAGATCTAAGCCTCATTTGAATAAATGATAAATAAATAAATAAAGCTGAACTTTACCCCTGTCCTTCCCTCCCTTCAGTCTGTGTCATAAATCACATTCTCCAACGAGGTGCACCCCTCAGAAGCCTGCTGTAGTAATCTGAGATCTGACTGTAGCCGAAGGTATGCATGGAATACGCTCCCCCCCCCTTTCCTCACCATGGCAACTTATAACAAACATGCCAATGCTTTATGAGTTGGCATAGGTGGTCACCAGAAGCCATCACCAAATTCGATTCAGAAATAAAACATACAGTCCTCGAGTTCCGACAGTTCATTTAGTGACTGTCCGAACTTGCAAGGACACTGAAAATGTGATTTAGGATTCCTATTCACACTTATGACCGTTGCAGCATCCCCACGATCATAAGATCAAAATTCAGATGCTTGGCAACTGATTCATATTTATGACGATTGCAGGGTCCTGGGGTCGTGTGATCCCCTCTTGCGACCATTATGACAAGCAAATCCAAAGGGGTAGCCTGATTGACTTAACAGCCATGTTACTAACTTAACAACTGCGGTGATTCGCTTAACAAGTGCGGCAAGGAAGGTCGTGAAATGGAGCGTAACTCACTTAATGGCTGTCTTGCTTACAACAGCTCAATTCTGGACATAAGTGGTGGATTGAACTAATTGTCTCCTCCCCTTTTGCTACTCTTCATTCCGTATGGGAGGGGCCATTCACCGTCCACCTGTGCCCTTCCTCCTTAGCTGTTCCCTTCTCCTGGGAGCTTTGCGCATGCGCACATCGGGAACAGGCTCCAGCTGTTCTTCTGCCCCACTGATCTCCGACTCCAAAGGCAGCTGATAACTGTCGGACGGCCCCGTCCCCCTCTCTGCCTCCGACACAGAGCCCTCCTCAGAGCTCTCCTCAGACTCCAGGACTGGCCCAGGTTCCTCCCCAACCCTCCTCACTGTCCGAATCTGCCAGCAGCTCCGCTGGCGAGCCGCAACATTGATGATATTCAGGATAGAGAAGAGAGCCTTACCTTTGGGTCCCGATTGCGCAATCCTCCGCACGTGTTAATTATATAGTGATTGTTGTTTTGATTATCCTGTGATGGAATAAACGTTCTGCTGTTAACAATGGGTTCTCTCAGTTTTAATTTAAAAGAAAACAAACTCTGTTGATTTATAGCTAGTTAATCCTACGGCAATCTCAGTTGGACTACCTATGTTTAACGACCACGTTACGTGACATCCTGGGTCTCTAAATTATGGTTGGAAATAGTTTAGATGGCAGCCACATTTAAAAAAAGGGGGGGGGGCAACATGAATTGGATCCAGAAAAAGCCACAGAGGTAGTCTTCCACTTACAACAGTTCATTTAGTGACCAAAGTTACAAGGGTGACCTAGGCACTTTTTCACACTTACGACCGTTGCAGTGTCCCCATGGTCATGTGATCAAAATTCGGACACTTGGCAAGTGATTCGTACTTATGACCGTTGCTTTGCCCCAAGATCATGTGATCCCTTTTTGTGGCCAGCAAAGTCAGCGGGGAATCCAGATTCACTTAGCAACCAGGTTACTAATGATCAACTGCGGAGATTCACTTAACAGCTGTGGCAAGAAAGGTCGTAAAGTGGGGCAAAGCTCACATAATAAACGTCTTGCTCAATTCTGGTCATAAGTCCAAGATTTTGTAAAAATTTGGAAGTCTAAAGGGAAAACAGAACCCCCAATATAGCAATAGCAATAGAGGAAAAGGAAAAGGTTCCCCTCGCACATATGTGCTAGTCGTTCCTGACTCTAGGGGGCGGTGCTC